TTTTTGTAAAATTCTCCTTTATTAGTTGAGAAATATTTTACTAAAATTGAATTGCAATGGACATATCAACGGAACAGATGGAAGCACATGCTGCAAGATTAATATTGAACGCTTGCTTTTCACAACATTATTGGTGTATAATTTCGTAGGAGCACAATACTCATAAAGTATGCCTAAACATGTTTGCTCTAAAGAAATTTGTTGTGTATTTTAAATGTTTAATGATTATTAGTGTATCACCGAATCGTTAAATTGGCTTCATTATCGTTGGGAAATTGTCTAAAGACAAAAGGTAAGTAGATATTAAGATATGATAATTTATGATTAGATTTCCAGTTTGGATGAAACATTAATGCTGTAGCATTGAAATTCATGATGGTTAAATTGCTATAAGCTCTATATTCTGTTTCTGCATCTTAAGTTTTTGCTTGAAGCTACGAAGGCAACATCGACATGGATTTTTTGTAAACAATGAAAGAATGTAAGGGTGCAGTCGTTTAAAGAGAATCATTCACCTCGAAGACATTATTTAGGCTTGTTTCTTATAAGGTCAGAACATTTTTATGATCAAACTTAAGATTGAAGCATAGGTAAATGTAATTCTAATTCAGTTGTTATCAGCTGATCTGTGCTACTTTTTTGTTTTTGTATTTAGATATTTGTATTCGTAATTTTTCGACGGAGTAAACAGTTTTAAAAAGTTTATGAAAAAAAAACTCCGTTTCTATTTAAAATTTAGAAAATATGTTTTGGTATTCCTATTCATACACAAGATTTAGAAATAGATAAAGATTTAGTAAGCAAAGAATAGAAAAAGCTTTAAACTGACTGGTTGATTTTCTTCATGTTGTCCCTCGTTAAAAGACACGGCGGACGACTTATAAAAAAAATCAATAACAACATCAATTTTTTGATATTTTCCTTACTATATAATAGATGATACTGTATGCATAAACAAACATGATCTACAGCAAAAAATATTCGTGATGAAGATGAGATTCATCACCAAAAATGTTTACTACCCAAATTTCTTATTCATTTCCAAAAACAATTTCCTAATCCACTTTTGTGTGTGCTGTAAAACCAATAAATTCTAAAAACAAGGCTTAATTTCCGCGCTTGTAAGAGAGATACAAGGAGATGTGTATGGATTGACGTATATAATTTCTGCGTTTGTGGTTTGCATTTAAAGTTTCTATCCATCAGCAAATAAAAAACAGATAAACCAAATATAAACCAAATGCTTCGATATTTTGATATTTACGATAATAATAGTTGTATGTTTTCAGTGTTCTATCATCAAACTTGTGCAGCTATGATTTTCCATTCAATTGCAGTTTTAAGGATAAAAAATGATGCGTTTTGTTGTCATCTTGTGGTTGATGCTGGCCGTGACTCTTAAATTGGCCGTCAAATCGGGATGGAACAAAAAGTTTGAATTTTGTGAAGATAAATGGAATGTGTTTGTTCAAGAAAAAAATAAATTGGAAGAAAGGTGCGGAAATTTGTCTTTAACTAATGGTTGCATCGAAGAGAAAAATTATCTTTTGGAACGATTCAGGATGTTCAGTGAAATTTGTCCACTTGAAGGTAATCTATATATTTTACATTTGCCTTTACATACGTACTTTCATATAAAAGTTTACTGTTGGAGAAAATTTAATTTGCAAAAAACTAGGGTAGAAAAAGGTATACTTGTATTTTTTTACATATCTATTGCGTATGCAAAACTGCAGACCTACGTACATTGGTAACATTGCTGTATCAGAAACATGGATTTCCTCACTAAAGAGTCAAGTTTAGCAAGATCAAAAGATTAAGTCGTTGGCTTTTTAGTCTAAAAAATAGAAATTAAACTGTTTTTCAGTTTTATTCCGTGGCTACGTTCATCTTTAATGGATGTAGCTTGTCATGGTCTGTTTCTTATGCAGATCGAACGACTTTGTTATACATCACTCTCCTGCTACATATGGTAATACGACCATGCATGTCTATTTTTATTTTTCAAATAAAATTTTTCAGGTAAATGTTCGTGTGCAAAAAATGTCGTGAACAAAATCCTCGAAGGTCGGAAACGAGTAGCAAATATATCTTGGAGTGAACCGGAAAACTTCACTTGTTCCCATAAATACATAAAAGAAGGAGAGGAAAAGCCGAACATTAGTTCTCCACAGTGGTTCTTAATAGGACAGCACAAAATTCCGTACAAGTACTTTCTATATGGTGGAAAAATTTCAACATGCTATGTTCATATTAACATTAACATAAGTAAGTATAACCATGTTTGGAAATTGGTATGAACATATAGATCATATATATAGAAAAAGTTGTTTGAGAAAGATACAATTCGCGGTTTTTCGTCAATTATGCACTCATATTACTTTGGAATTTTGATTACATAAAGAAGAGGTTTCCCGATAAGCACACTAGACATCGTTTTGACTTCAATATAAAGTTGAATTATGTCATGCATGTCAAAACGTTGATCTACCTTAAAAATAAATTCATCAATTTAAGTTGAATTATGTATACGAGTACAAAATTTCAATGTAAGAAGTCGAAGTTCATTCGTGAAAATCATAGTAAAAATGTAGCTTTAGTTCAATTATAATTTAAATTATCGTTTTGTTACAAACAAATTGTTATCAGCTCAAAAATTGTGATCATTTCGCACAGGGGCGGATCTAGGATTTTTCAAACATCAGTCATAAAACGTAGGAGGCGCTCCGCACCTAGGGGGTCTGAGGCATTCTCCCCTGAGAAATTTTGAATTTCAGAGCCTTGAAAATGCCATTTTCAGCTTTTTAGAGCAATACAAAATGTATTTTGTGGGCATCGTTTTGCGTAAAACAGCACATTTTGCTTACGTTTTTCCAAAAAATAAAGTGAACAATACTTGAATGTTTTGCCAAATATTTAGGCTCATTATCATGCCAAATATATGGCTCATTAGCATGTGTAGGAACGTAAAATTTATTTTACAATAATGCTATTCAAAAAGACATTGTCTTTAAAATTTCTACCAAATTGTCAGGCATAGACCAACCTAAGACCCCATTCAAACCTCTATGTAATGAGTCAAGTTAGAAATGTGGTACTACAAAGGACAGTTCATAGATATAGAAAAGCTCAGACTTCAAACCATGCAAGTTTATTGTAACCTTTTACCCATCTCCACATACAGTGCCAGCAAATTCACCTTTTGAAAAAAACTCAAAATTTTTCTTCCAAAGATTAAGCAAAATTATCAGAGTGAAATTTGCAATTAAGGACAGCTTAATGCCATCAATGTTTATTAGGCATTTCACTAGACTATTATCTTCTGTAAGTATATGCAAGGTGTGCTATATAGCAATCACTAGAAGCATTGTATTATCAAATACAAACAGAATGTAACCAGCATGTCTTTAATTATATAATTACATGAATGTTAAAATTGGTTCATGTGTCATGCTTACTGGTTATGACAAATATATTTTCATATGATCAAAGCTCGTTTAAATGTAAATCTGAAATAATTTAGTTTAGAAATTATAATGATCATCAGAAAAATTACCTAGTGATCATGAAAAATACTTTGCTGTCTTGCCAAATTTCAAGGTTTATCTGCATACATAGGAAGATATTTTTACTTTATAGAAAATGCTTTTCATACATCAATAGCCCTTTGTAATTTATGGCAAACAATCTGGTATGAGCCGTAGATCAACACACCTTGACATCTCTACATGAGGCGTTCAGTTAGAAAAGGGGACATTATGTGACATGGGACAATATTTCATGTATGTGAAATACTCAGGTTTAATACCATTCCAGTCAAATTGTCAAAATAAAAAGCTTCATGGATTAGAAATGACTCAAAATCACAGGTTATAGTAAACAGCTTCTCATGTAATCAATGTTAGTTTTTTCAAATCTTAAGCAATGTGTAGTATAACTGTCTAATGAATGAATGATCAATGATCATAAACTGAAAAGCCCCAAAAATTTGTTTATGATAAAGTAAATAATAGTATGGCGCCTTAGGGCTAGTTGTATAGATACTGCCAGTTCTGGCGCAACTCCGGTCTTGGAGGCTGCGTACATAAATCTGAGCGCCCCAGCCCTAGTTCGTTTACACATTACTTCGTACTGTGTATACATGGGTCCCGACAAAAATCGCACCAATTCTGGCGCACCTCACAGTTTGAAAAGGAGTATACACAAATCTAAGCGCCCCAGCCCTAGCTCGCGTATGTTCTTGTTATTATGCTAGCATAATATGAAAGTGTTTTTATGCAGTGCGGTGTTTGAAATTAAATGAAGATATGATCTTCGCACTTTGCTGGACAATTTAAGCAATTGTCTCATGAGCCTGAAAAATTCAGGTGACTCAACGGGATTCGAACCCATGACCTCTGCGGTGCCGGAGCAGTGCTCTGACCAACTGAGCTATGAAGTCACACAGTGGTGAGCAGGTCAATTTTGTTGGGCTCATGTTTTCTCGTTAAAGGAATGTCATCTCGCCGGCCCCCCTCTCCGCCTGCAGAGTAATACGCATAGGAGGGCGTCCCACCCTCCTCACAGCGCCATCGGAACGACGATATTCAACCCGCTTGGCGGCCTGAGCTTGGGTGAGAACGGTCTCCAGCTGCGTACGGGTGGGGCGGTCAAAAGCGTATTCCCATGCAGAGATCGAGCTCGGTGGATCTTGCTCGGCATCGTATTGGCAGCGGAAGCGCGTTAAATTCGTCACAGGAGCTTTCCTTGCTTGGAGCCAAATCTCGACTGCTTGGGTCATACACAAATCTAACGCCATGCTGATGATATGTATCAGGGGAACTCAAGATAATACACCCTATAGGTACGTCTCCAATTGTATCCGTACGTGCCCCGGTGGTCCGAGAAAATCCGCGGGACTGCGGCATAGCGAGTGAAAAGAGAGGTGCCTTCACCCCGCCAGAAGAGATGGAAGTTCTAACCCCAAGCCTCTCGCAGTTTACCGTTGCTTATATGATACCACTCGTTTTCAGCCCGCTCAATCCAAAGATTCTGAATCTTTATCTTGCCATTCTTCAGATTCGCACCCTCCCCAAAAACCGCGCCACTACAACGTCCTGTCGTACGAGATCAGACAGCGTTCCTGTAACAATTCTCGGTAAACCACTCAAACGGTCATCAAGGCCATGGAGGTCGAGCTTGTTTACCTTCAGCTGTGCGACAGTATGAGAGAGAGTGCCCTCAGTATCCTCATTCCCAATTTTTTTTTGTTATGCACGACATCATCCTGCAAACGAGCAAGCTGCTCCTCCTGATTACTGATCACCGAAGCAGCCGCCGTCTTATCCCAAGTGGTCGTCCAAAATACCATGTCCATAAAACATTCAAACAAGGCCCTGAGCGTTCAATATAGCAAGACACTTGCTAATGATGCGGCTCCTGTTAATGAGAAGCGCATTAATAAAGGCAGCATCGCTAGTCATCTTGCCTCTGATACCTCCAGGCATAAAATGACCATCATAATTTATAAGTTTGCTCTCGTGTGTTTTGGAGTAGGTCTCAAGCAAGGCCGCCAAATCACCGAGCTTCTGCCCTGACCCCGGTACGCAAGAGCATGCTGTTTGATCTCCTGCAACTTCTGCCTCGCCAGGCGAAACTAGGGATGGCCGAAGTCGACTACGGCGTTAGCGACCACCTCAAAGGGATACCTGCTGAGAAACTGTTGGTTTACGTTGTTCACAAGCACGCGATAATCAGCCACAATGGCAAGACGCATATCCTTATCCGCCTGAGGCTCCCTGAGATTGGCTTCAAACCCTTGTGGGTTTTCCGTAAACAATTGTACCAGCTGCGCATGCGGAGTGAAATAGTTGCTTTTGAGAAAGGCCTCGGGAATCTTCTGGCCCGCCAGAAAGCGGCCAAAGACGAGCAGCAGCAAGCGATCGAACTCTCCCTCTTTCCGAGTCTGGAGAGAGGGCGCGGTTGTAGTGACCGCCGCGAGTTGGTTTTTCAAACGGACATCAGCGACGCTGTCGCTAACTTGGCCTGTATCTTCAGAATAGTTCAGCAACCTGGATTTTACCACACTCAGGACCGACTCTTCATTGATAAGCTCAGGGTGGCCCTCAAACAAGGCATAGAGCTCTTTTATGCTTGGGTGTTTTTTTAGCTCCAGCAAGCTCAACTTAGCAAGGGGATAGTTTGGTATATACTGCAATGCATTGCGCAGGAAGGAGATGAAATTCCGGTGGCAATTTGGTGCTCCAGCCCCCTTTGCTCGGGCCCCTTCGGGGAGATATCCCAAGACCTCCATAAAGGACTAAGCGCGTTTGATAATGTGCTCGGGTTGGCTCTCGAGCCAACTGGAGGACCTCCAGCCACCGCACCTTTGGAATGAGGAAGGCCGAAAGATAACCATCCGCCACCCGCTCAAGCCGCTGTGGTAGACCATCAACGATCCGCACTCAAATATGTTCCATTTTCTTCAAACATACGCTTAACAATCTGGTGATATCCCTCCCGAACTTCTTTCTCTAATTCTTGTTCAGATTTTTCTAGTAATGACGGAGAAAGGAAAGCTTTCACTGAAAGTCCACCGCAATAGATTTTTCGTCGCAATAGTAGGCGAATCGCTGATTGGTGCAGTCCATAGCGAGGATCAGGCGCTCGCAGCGGGTCAAAAGTTTCTCGTACAGTTTGAAGATGAGAGCCTGTTTATTGCCCGTGCTGCCGAAGAGCGAATTAAGAAACCGCTTCACATTCGACTTATCCGTGAATCGGAAGAGATAGAGAATGTTTGTGTTAACCTTCATGTCCTTTATGTTGTCGAAGCTCTGGGAGAGGAAGAAGACGTTCAATTTCAGATGATGGCTATACATCGTAAAGAACTTATAGAGGCATTCCCTCCGCATTTGAGATTCATGACGTCGATGATGACGTAGGACTCCGGCTCTAGTCTCGTATCCTCGATCGATTCAGGCATGACGGAATAATGCTTTAAGACCGTGTTAGGTTGGATATATTGATCAGCGGAGGTGTTCGAAATGACGTAAAGCCTTTTCGGACGAACGTGAGCAAGGAGCCGTTTCATGAAGAAGCTCTTGCCCATATTGCTCTGACCCAAGAGCAAAACATTCTGCACCCATTTTTTGAGTGAAGGCAGAAGCTCGTCAAATCATTCTTTTTTGTGAAATTCAAACCCGAAGATAGCGGGGTATTTGCCCCCACCAGTGCTAGTATCGCGCGTGATAACACTTGGAAGAACAGTAGGCGCGGGCGCCTCTGATGACGTCGGGACGACTGACCCGGGGAATAACAGCCGAAAATCCATTTCGGAAAGATATCCACCGCTCTAAA